CTGGATCCAGACGAAGGCAGCTGCGCACCATCCGGTGATTTGTGTTGAAGTTCAGGTTTTGTACCACATGGGCATCGGTGAAGGAATTAGACTTGTTGGTGATAATATAGTCAATTTCGTTCTTGTAATCTCCACCTGGGGATATCCACGTCCATTTTGACTTCGGTTTTTTCTTGAAGACTGAGTTCAGTAGTGTGAGATTATTTTCTAGTAAGAAGTTGATGAGCATTTGTCCATTGCTGCTTCGCTTTCCATGACCAAATTTTCCCATTATAAATTCCTCGCCAGCTTCTCTAGTCCCAACCTGGGCATTTAGGTCCCCCATAAGTATGAGGTGATTTTTAGAGTACTTGCTCACAATATCTGACAAGGTGTTGTAGAATTCTTCGGTATCAGCCTTGATGGCCTTCTCGGTAGGCGCATACACCTGTATAATTGTCCAGTCTTTCTTATAATTAGGCAAACTTATATGGAGAATAGCTATCCTATCCGATATGCCTTCGAACTCTTTGATTTTATTTTTGTGATTCTTCCTTATTAGAAAGCCTACTCCATAGTGCCCAACTTCTCCACCTTTGTAGTACAGGATATATTTTTCACGTTCTTCTATGCCTTCTCCTTTACGTCTCATTTCGCTTATGCCTATTATGTCCCACTTTAGGTTTTCGATAGCCATTTCTAGTTCTTGAAGGGATTCTTCGGTCCTCAATGTGAGTGTGTTAAGTGTGCATACATATATAGATTCGCTTTTGTTTTCTTTATTTCCATTTGATTTCTCTTCATTTGTTCTATGTTTTGTTTGTGGTTGTAGAGGGTGACGGTCTACTTCTCCCGCGGCGACCACCCGGCTTGGGAGAGGTCTCCGGTTCGGTTTTAGTTTTTTGCGGAGGATGGTCCATGTGGCCCATGACCTTCATTTGTTTTTGGTGTCTTCTGGTTGTCGATGTTTTTGTCTGGGGATGGTGCTTCCTTTCTCTTATTATTATTTTCTGTTCTGGTGTTTTTCTTGACTATCAGCTTGTCGTATTTTATGTATGCAAAGTTTCCTTCTTTTCTCTCCTCCTCCTGTTTCACGCGTAAAGCTTTCCGCAGTTCTAATACTTCCTTTGGGTAGTCTTCGGTTATAGATATAGATGTTCCCTTTAGCTTCTTCTTGTTTTTTAGTATTTCTTGCTTTTTCTTCTGAGTTGTTAGTCTTATCATGAGTGGTGCTTTGTCGGTTTTTCCCATTTTCCTGACTATGTCTATGTCCTCTAATTCTAGGTTAACCTGCAGCTCATTTTTCACTATTTCCAGGATCTTTTCTTCTCTTTTTCCGCTTGTTTCGCCTATACCATGGATGACTAGGTTGTGGTTTCGCTTTTCTCTCTCTAGATTACTAACTTTTTCTTCTAATGTTCCTATTTTTGATTTGCATTCTTTCAGCTGTTCGAATATGGTGTCTAGTTCTTGATTTAAAGTGACAAGTATATTTCTTGTTATAATTTCTGCTTGTTTCTCCATTTCTACTTGCACTGCGGCTTTTACTTTTTGGTTAATTCTTTCAATAGCCGATACCGACAACTCCTTCTCGAATTTCCCCAGATTCGGGTGTTTTTTTGTTTAATGGCAACACTGGTGCAGTTGACAAATGTCAAATTCAAATCTCGCGCCCGGAAGTGCTCGTGACTGATAGGTTAAATCGACTATCTATGCAATCTGTGCTTAATCACTGTTATAGATAGTTATACCTATACACTTCTATAATTTCGACACGTTTTGTTCAATTTTACGACTTGTTCGCACTTTTTAGGCTGAATCTCTTGTTGATTTCTGTACTTTGGCACTGGATGATCACTTTTATGCAGTTTAACACAGATTTGTTCGGAATTTGACGCAAATTCTTGTTAAAATTGCAGACGAAACTAACGACACTGCTCACTTGTCAAATGTCAAACCGGAAGTCCACACAAGCGTTACTTATATTAATTTCTAACTTTTGTTGTGTACGTGACATTGAGTGGATTAGAAAGACTACGATAAAAAAGAATAATATAAATGACATTTTATTTTTTATGTACCCATATATTTTTGTTTATTTCTATTTATATATATTATGGTTTGTGGAAACATTCAACTATCTTAAATTAGTTTGAGATATGACAACTTTGATATTATAATCAAACAATCGTAACTCCACAACTGTAATATACCTACTTACTTACGTAGATAATTTAGTTTCGATCTAAACTTGAACTTACTAAGTTCGCTCAAAATTGTAACAAAGAGAACTAGATAATTCTAACCTCCCACGTTGAAAAAGAGCTTACCGCTAAGACTTCAGAAGACTTAGCGGTAAGCTCGACGAGTGACGCGACGCGCAGTATGACATCTGTCAGACAAGCAATCGTCAGCAGTTATCAATGGAACGCGCGTCTCACGTGTGTAGCTTTGTTTCTTCTGTTGTTTTGTACACTTTATATGCATGAAAATGGCGTCGCAATGTCGCTCGTCTTACGACTTCGACGGTCATTTGTTTGACTGATTCCATCTTACCCTTACGTCTCACGACCTACTCGTATGTCTACTCTTTGGAGCTTAGACCTTAGAACAGCGTTGTTATAATATTAAGGTACAACGTTGATACCCCGTAGCGTAAATATTAAAATGAGCTTTTATTGAATTCAGCTTACCCGACTGAATTTCGCTAATTACTTCCTTGTTGCCAGTTTACCTCAATTCAGTCTCGATGGGGCTATTAAAGCTTTCAATTGTACTTCCCTATAGTACTGAGCAAATAGAGCGTTAAACTGTCAGGCCATATTTAAGGTATTTCCGCCGCGGGACGTGGTCGTACGACTTTATCTCGTCTCACTCATAGGTAGGTATAAAGAGAAAAGATAGGTGTGTAGGTGGTTATTGACGCCTAAAACTATACTGGACTTTCTTTATCAATTTGTTCTAAATTAACCTTTCTTATCCCTAAGTAACATAAACCACCTTTTACTGTTGGACCCGAGATAAATCGTGTACCAGCTGGCGAGAGACTAGCTTTACCAACGGATCAAACTACCGTGGAGTAAACTAATAATGGTGATGCTTGTCACGAAGGGCATTATTTGTAGTTAGACGGCACCGATATGATGAGACTGATATTTGCTCATGGCATCACGAGCGAATCACTCCGTCGTGTGGTATGCCACTGGTGTGGCTTGTCACGAAGGGCCGACCGACGCTAGTATTTGCCTATAGAATCGACGCTAGTATTTGCCTATAGAATCTCGACCGAGCGGATCACTCCGTCGCGGAGTATGCCACTGGTGTGGATTGTTTAAGGGCGTTATTTCTAGCTGGACGACTCCGGTGGGGTGAAGCTGGTATTTGCTCATGGCATCACGCACTGGTTAATCCGGGCGATAATTCTGTAACGACAGGACATGATTTATTTATTTGGGACACATTTCGCAGATTTATCGTATTTATGACTGCATGTATTTATCAATTTTGATGGACAAAGTAAAGTCTTAGACTCGAAACAATTTCTGATTCCTGGGACAATTTTTGATTCCTAAGACCCTATTCAAACCTAATCGGTATCCACGTAATATGCATGGGGTAGCATCAAAGAAGTCAATCCCTTGACAACAGGTAATATAATTTTTGGTACTAACCTTGACAATTTATACCAATCCAGCAAAATACCCAATCCACGTATCGCGAGTATACAGCTCAGGTTAGAATTGAACCTTATTCAAACATCCTCGATGTTACTTTAAGCCGGTGCATTTTGACTTTATGATCGAACCTACCTACTAATTCTTTTTTAAATAGAATTCCTCTTTTCTTTCCTTTTTTTATTCTTTTCTTATGTTTTGTAGGCACGTCTCTACAAGAAGTATGGCTCTCTCATAAATTTCTCTCTCTCAGCCGGAGATATACTTATGTGGCCACGCAAATTCCATGTCGCCTAGATGCATACATAATGCATAGGAGGAGTGTGTGCTCGTATGTACTAATATTGTATTGCAGCGAACCTTTTTATCGTCACAACGAGTTTTTAAGATTGTTTGACCGAGTTAACGGTCAGCACTATACAATGTTATAATAACTACAAGGTAGAGCGAGCTAAGAATTTTTATTTTCTACAGGACTTTAGCCTACCTACATTGATTTCCTCCAATCCAAGTAGTAATGGCGACTAAGTGTCACGAAGAAAGATAGAGAGAGAGTACTAAGTATGTATGGCACAATGAATTCGTTCCATGCGCTTTTCCTTGGCTTGGTTCTTACTTTTGTAAAAACAGCCGAGCTTTTTAAATCTATAGATAATCAAAAAACGTATATAAATAGAAATATGACAAAATACAAGAAAAATCTTTCGTGTCGTATTCAAATCCGAAATTTTGCAATCAATGGAAGAATCCGATTGTAACAGAATCAGCTTGTCCATAACGCAACAGCTCACTTATCCATGCGGATCCCCTTTAAAAAGAGTATTGACACAGTCCGACCCGACCCCATTTATACTTCAAAATAAATGAGTCTTTTATCGAGAGAGACGGAATTCTAGCCGAGACGTAGCAATTGATGGATTTTAGTTTAACATTCCGAAATGTTTGATACCAAAACCAAATTAAAACAATTTAAAAAATTATTAGTATATTAAAAGAAAACAAGCTGTTATCTTCGATATCATATTAACACAAGTCAAAATTGTTCATATGTAGGTAATTCAAGTTCGAAATTCCGCGACATATTTATGAATCATGATCTCAGCTAAAAAATCAGATTAATCCGAAATTATGGATGTCAAATTGAAACAAGCCCAAGTTATAATGTCGTATTAAAACAACCCGAAATCTTTGTAATTTGATGTAGATACCTAATATTCCATTTCAAAATTCCGCGACTTCTATTGAAATCTGATTTTTACTTTAGAATCAGCAGCCCGGTAGACGGAGCCCATCCACGCGATAGTGGACAAGTAAGATATACTTGCTAAATTCGCAGGCTCGATTAGAACCGCGGTAGCCCAGTTGCTAGTGGCGTCGGCAGTACAGATGCCAAAGGTCGCAGGTTCAAATCCTGCCTGAGGTGGAAAATTTTGCAAGTTTTCCAAAAATCAGCATGTATATTACGCAACAGTTTACTTGTCTATGCGGATTGGATCCCCGTTTAAAAACAGTCCGACCCGACCCCATTTGTACTTCAAAATAAATGAGTTTTTATCAAGAGAGACGGAAACTTGTTTGTAGCCGACGTAGCAACTGATGGATTTTAGTTTTACATTACGAAATATTTGATACCAAATTAAAACAACAAAAAAAATAATAGCCTATTACAATAAAACAATCTGTAATCTTTGATTTCATATAAAATCAAGTCAAAATCGTTGATGTCATAGTAGGTACCTAATTCAAGTTCGAAATTCCGCGACATATTTTAGAATCATGATCTTTACAGAATCATTTTGTCCATTATGCAACAGTTCACTTTATCCGTGCTTTTGAGATGCGGTACCCCATTTAAAGAGAGTATTGACACAGTCCGACACGACCCCATTCGTACTTCAAAATATTAATAATGAGCTTTTATCGAGAGAGACTTATAGAAACTTCTAGCCAACGTAGCAACTGTTGGATTTTAGTTCAACATTCCGAAATATTTTGATGTCAAATTAAAACAAGCTAAAATTTTTATTGGCATATTTAAAAAAAAGCTGAAATCTTTGATGCCATATTGAAATAAGTCGAAATCGTATCATATTCTAATTCGATGTTCTGACTGATTGAAATCCGATCTTTACAGACTCAGCTTGCCCATAACGCAGCAGTTCACTTAACTAACCATGTCAGGTTGAAAAACTCTGACACCAGGGTTCATCAGGTTGTTTGTTAACTTGGTGTCCCACTCGAAGAAGAAGAAGTAGATTTAACCATCCATGCGGTACCCCTATTTAAAGAGAGTATTGACAGAGTCCGACCCATTTGTACTTCAAAATAAATGAGCTTTTTACCGATAGAGAAACGTCGACGTCGGCGATTGATAGACTTTAGTTTGCAGCTGAAAATTGAATTTCGGCAACGAGAGAAAAATAACGTGAATGCAATTTACTACGAGGAAATGATTAGTGCAGATACTGGAGAACGTACGGTGAGGGAATAAAACTAAAAACTATGCTAAAACGATTAGAGTGAAATCGTTTTGAAAAATATTTTGGTGTGATTTTTTCTTCGAGAAACAACAGGCCTGCCATTCTGGCCAGAACGGGATCGAAAAAATTTTTCGGCCATTTTGTAAGTTTTCTAAAACGATGCTAAAACTGTTTGAGTGAAATAATTTAAGGGTAAGTCTTTTGATTTTGTTAAGATACCTACATGCGTCATCATAGTCATACGTACCTAAATAATTACTTTAAGGACCGCTTATACCTACTTACCTATATTTAACAACCTATGCACCTAAACTTGGTGTAGTAATGCGTTGATTCCATATGAAAAAAAATGCATTAACAGCATAATTGACATAAAAATCTATTTGCCTAAAAACACACTATCAATTTGGGTAAACCGCCAATCACCTTTTTTACTGATGTTGCAATATTTGATTAGGTTATGCTAAAACAATCACAAACAACTTTCCATCACAACCGCAACAAATTGATTGTTTCGTTCTGTAATGGCGTGCTAAAAATATTATCTTGCTTGCGATTTTTCCCTTTCTTGTTAACCTAGGAATATACTTATATTATAGGTATTAAATAATAGTGTCACAGTAGGTATACAATAGCCACTAACTACTGCTATCATCACAAATAAAAAAAAAAATTGAAAATGCTTATGTCATGCATTGACCGGGGATCGACCCCGGGCCGCATGGCATGCTGCTATCATGCTGTGCAGGAGCCAGGCCAGGAAACATCAGAGCAGTATGGTATCCCTCTACCTATGGGTTTGTGATGATCAGAAACTTTATTTTTGAATTTGCGCATGCGAAAGTCTGCTAATACCTAATTGTGCTTGTATCACACGTTTCACTATCAATTTCCATTGCCACATAGCCTATAATTTCCAACACAACCTAGACATTAAGGAGGGTTGACGTCTGGTAGGCTAGGCGGCCGGTCGTAAAATTAAGCCAAATCCTTTTGCAACACGATTTTTAAACAAAACGTGTTGCGCCGACCCCAAGTAATTGGGATAAGGGCAGGAAGATGATGATGATGAAAACCTAGACAACAAATTGAAATTCGAGTAAGTACCTAGCTGAGAGTGTGATAAAAGTGGCGGAGTGGGCGCTTAGACCAGTCGTTGCGGACTTCCGTACGCGATTTCAGAGATCACACTTTCAGAAATTGAGCTCCTGGTAAATGTTATTAACACAAGAATAATAGCGGTTTAACTTTTACTAAGCTTGTCATATAAATGCTAGCTTCATACCGACTTGAATAACTTAATTTAGCACCTATTCAGAAAATTATTATATTACTTTACTTAGTACTTAATTGTAAGAACTAAGTAAATTACTCAAGCAACTTTCACTGAAATCTAACAAAGAATCCTTGCTTGAAACATATTAACTTAATATTTTCTCAGAATGATTGACTTAACCTCCAGTATCGAGTAAAGAAAGTTAAGGCGAGTTTAGCCGCAAAAGTAGCGCCACTTTACGAAAAATAGGTATCATATAATATTTCTTTATGCTGACAACACAACAGAATGTCTTTTGCTTAAGTTTTTGTCTTATCTCAAACTTTTATTACCTACCTAGATTGTACAAACTTGATGAAATATTCGCGGTAATTTAAGTTATAAATAATTAGCACATACCTATAGTAGATATAGGTACTAAAAGGGGCCGTTTTGGCACTTTCATCCAAAGCTTTAATTGCAAAAAATATTTTAATGCGTTTTCAGTATTTAATTTAAGTTTACAATAATACCAAAAACTTGGGCAAATGGGATATAATTTCTTTCGCAAAGTGGCGCTAGTTCTGCGGTTACACTCGCCTTAATAAACTTTTATCAACTTTACCTACGTCTATGAAAAGTTTGAGAAGTCTAGGCTGGCATAGAAAGTTTTCTTTATAGTCATATAAATACGTACCTAAGATGAATGCGAAATAATATTCTTAGTCATATTTTTTTTCATATTTTTCTCACCATGTATAAACTGATTAAGATAAATTATAAAGTACCTCACCTTAAATTTCTTACACCTTAATCTAGATATTCGTGTTGATTCCACAATTATAATACCTAAGTCAGCTAAAATCCGCGAAATGTTTACTTAAAATTACTATGCAAAAAACAAAACCAAAATATGTTAGGTACTGAGGGGAAATGTACCTACTAAATATTCCCATAGCAGTATTCTAAGATACTTTACTAGAAAAATGTCTCTTAACTATGTTTATTCGTTCGTCATGGATCTTGAAGATAATATTACTGTAATGTCTCAATAAATCAGTGTTGTTATAACAGATACCATAATTTGAAACACTGGTAGCGTTGCATCACATCGTTTACCATAATTCGATGAAATGATTGTCAATATGTATTATTTGTGACCATTACGAGGAACTAGGACTTCCGCCAAGTAAATGCGATACTGGCAATTTGGCTTCGCCTGTAATAATATTACGTAAGATAATGTACAGACAGACTGAATCTACACTATGATTATTTGTCCAATCTGAACTTAATATGTCTACAGTAGGCGGGAAGTAGATCTGTGTGTAACATAGCTAGCAATTTAAAATTAGTTTTATAGTTGCGGAAGTCTTGTAGGTATAGTTATCTATCACACAGCACGAAAATCATACACCGCAAAATGGATGTCATATACCGGTGGGCTGTAATAGTTATACAACAAACTTTGTCAAGATTTGAAGAACGCATACTTACTTACTATGAGAATACCAAATAATCTAGCTACTCGTATTACTTTGTTTGTCTTTCCCTGTCTCCTATGAAAACAATCTTCATTTTTAAGAACGTGTGAGCGATCATATTTTTATTACCTACACTACCTACTTCAGAATGCTTTGTTTGAATATGAGCCACCACATAAGTACGAACGCTCTTTTATGGAATTTTAAAACTTTCCGTCATTGTCTCTTTGACCCCACTGGACGACATCTTTCATAATAATTTTATAGAAAACTATCCACACCTTTCACCTATGGTCGCCTACACAAAGTTTTATGCATGACATACTTTCAATTTAACTTCATTCTTGATAATTTTCCTATTCAAATGCTTGAAATAGAAAGGCAAGCAATTATTTCTGCTAGATATCTGTGTTAATTAATGATACACGAGTGAATTTAATTGTCATTACCTCTTAGACAATTTCACAGGTCGTTTCAATCTTTCAAGTTTTTAAATTGGTTGGTTAATTGCTTAGTATTAAAAAAGTAAAGTAAGTTTCTCTAACTGCCTCCACGGTGTAATGTTTTAAGCTTTGGGTATCAAAGAGAAATCTTGGTTCAATTACTAAAGGATATTTAGCACTTCGTGTGTTTATTTTTATAGTTGACACGGGCAATCGCTGCATTCGCCGCCTTAGGACAAGAAGCTCCCTTTCTCACATGAGTTTTCCACTAAGTAAGAAAGGGAGCGTCATACAACTGTAATGCGGCGGCGAATGCAACTCAACTCAATGAAGTCTCAACTATAGTATATTACAGGCTGAACCATGCGATGATCCGCAACAATTCTGGCGCTCTCTGTTTCAGATGCAGATTTTTCGCATGAAATACCTATGACAACCTAAGCAAAATCTCTTTAATGTCATATTATAAGTACTCTAGGTAGAATTTGTATTTATACAAAGTTGTCATACGTGAAAATAATACGCCATTAAAAAAGACTAACATAAAATAAAGATTTCATCAAGACGTGCCGACACAGTGATTCTTTTGATGAAAGTATAACAGAAGTAATATCTATTTTACGATTCCCAAAGTAACGAGTGCTGGGATTATTGTTAACGAAATTGAAGTCAGTAACCGAAACCCAGTGGCTCTCGTAAAAGGTTACAGCCACACCATATCTCGGCTCGTTAACTTTTTAAACATGCGCTTTTAGGAGGTT